AAGTTCCAGCTGTGCTGTGGCCCTTCTAGTTTTCTCCCTGCACAGCCTTTGGTTCTTTGGTCCTGCTGCCCTCAAAAAGGCAGGTGGTCAACAAGTAAGAGGTTCCTGGTGGTGTTAATTGGTGTTAATCCTCCCTGGCAAGGTTTTGGGTTTGGTAGGGGGTTTTTTGGGGTTTTTTTTGTGTGGTTTTGTTTGTTTAGGGGGGTTGTTTTTTGCAAGTGATAGCTCACCCAGAGACTGATCCATGGTGCTTAAATCCGACCACCCCCAGTGGTACCTGAGCGCCTGTGGGCGTCAGAGATCTCGAGCTGTGTAGCTGGTATTTTCCCTGCTTGAGCAAGTTTACCTGCAAAGGCAAGTTTGCGTAGCTGTGGTTCAGGTTAGCGTGCACATCGCTGGGGCTGGCAGAGAGACCCAGTGTGCAGAGATGTCCCCTCAGGTTGTTGCTGGCTGGTCCAGCTCTGTAAGTGAAGATCAAGTCTGGTGCAGATGTCTGTTGTGACAAGAGCGAAAGGAAAAGCCTCTGAATAGAGGACTTTGTGTTTGTCTTGCTGCACCTTCACCTGTGTGCCTGCAAATCACCAACCTGTTCTAACTTTCTCATTTTAAATACCTACCACTAAGGCTTTTTTGTCTAAGATGGAGGATTGAATCTCTAAACCCCCTTGGTGTCTTCCCCAGACTGCTTGTGTTGTGAGAGCAGCTTGCCTGCAGGATGCAGTCTGAGAGAAGAGAGAGGCAAGGGTCAGGCTAAGAAAAGGATGTTGGTATGTTAACGAGAAGCTGAAAGGAAGATTTGGGCTTCCTGTGGCTCCAGGCAGCTCCCCCAGGCCTGCCTTCAGAAGCAGCCTCTTCATCTCGCTGCCCTTCATGCTGCCCTTCAGTGGGACAGCTTCCCAAATATGGGCTTGCTGACTTTCTGACCAAAATAGCGTCTGCGTGACAAAATGCAGCGTGGAGGAACGTAACCTTAATCCAGGCATCATTGTGTAGCAGGAGACAGAAATTTTTTGAGCTTCCACAGCAGCTCAGTGTCAGGTTTGTTGCTGTCTGCTCCCTATACACATGGAGGTCCCACAGCACGGTGCCCAGACATCGGTTGATCACCTATTGCGTTTTCTAACCCCGTGACAGCTCAGTCCACAACTTCCCTCCCTGTAGAAGTTGCCCCAGCCCAGAAGGGAAAGCTGTACAGGGGAGTCTGTGCTGGCATGGCCTCCTCGGCCTGGTGTTGCTTGCCTTGTGAAATCATTTGCGTGTCTTGATATCTGTTGGTCAAGTGAGGTTGAAGATCCTTTTTGGGAGGATTACGTTTACAGAGCCCAGGCGATGCAACTGGCAGCTGTGGCCCACTTCAAACTATTCCCATTATGCAGAGCTCTGTCATCTCTGATATCTAAAAACTTCAAAACTCTTATGATTCAGTCCTTGGCATCCTGCAGGAAGCCAATGAGCTTGAGAGCGTCCCTGTGCTCAGCCACTGCTGTACATCAGGTTATACATTTCATGCTCACTGCTGCTGTACGTCATACTTGCTGCAGATGGTTTCTCCTCTTTGCAATTAATAGGACTCAGTATCAAGTTCCAGTTTGGCTCCTTTTTCCCTCTGATTAAAAAAAAAAAGAAAGGTAGGGAGCAAAGGGCACGTAACCCAATACTGAATCAGCTCATTTGGCAAAGGTGAGCCGTCGTGCTGACAGCCAAAAGCACAGAACTGGGGAGGAGAAATCAGAGCACTGGGAAATGCTCTGATGGGGCTGAGTATTTGCTGGGGATGTTGATGTTCACATGTTTTCATATGAAAATGAGAAGCAGGGCTGGCTGCATGTTGCTCTGTCCTCCTTTACCACCTTTCAGTAGTGTTCAAGCAAAAAGCTGTGGACAGAACATGAGCTCTGCTTTGCCCAAGTTTCAAGGCTGTTGCAGGTGTTTCTACACAGCAGGGGCTTTGGTGTGGTGAAATGTTGTTTATGCGACCTATCTTAGCTCACATTGCACTGCTGCTGCCCCGGTGGCAGGCGCGTGAGGTAGGTGAGTTGTAGAGGCTGTATTAGGGGGATGTGTCCAAAATGTCCTCGGATCTCTGCAGTCACACAGCAAAGTTTTACTGAGGGCTGAGAGAGGCCTCAAATGTGCTGGAAAAGCTGCAAACCAGAGCAGGAATTACATCTAATGCCAGCAAAAGCAAGCAGAGCAAATGGCGTGAGAGCTGCGGCTGTTGGCGCAGGCTGCTGTAACCTGCCAGCGCAGCTCCTCTCTCAGCTGGGGGGTTAAGACCAGGCAGATCTGGCAACTATCTTAGTGGTAAATGGCTTTTTGCCTGCTTAAAAACAAAATGGATGGATGTTTCAATTACTTTTAAAATTATTTTTCTTTTTTGCAAGCAGTGCTTGTGGATGTGTCACATTCCTTACAGGCTTCTGGCACCAAAACTTCACTACACTTGCAGAGAAAACTGCAAATTTGCCTGGAGTTGCATAGATACATGGACTGCTCGGGGTGGTTTTCATTCATCATTAGCGTATCTCCAGCCACATGCCCTCCATGGAGGCTTCAAACAGGCTGGTCCTGTACTGGTTGCTGGTTTTTCAGCTGTCTGACCCACTCACTGGCCTGTCATGTCACTTTACATTCCTGATGCAGTTGTTCCCGAGTTTTAGCCAACAGTGAAATCCACCCACAGTGCCCCACCCCATGGCATTTGCTCTCTTACTCTTGGAGGGCAGTCAGTGTGTTAAGATAAATTGGTCTTGCAGCAGGTTTTCTGACTTCATGCACTGCACATGCACTGACCTGCTGGCACCTCTGGTCTAAGGCCTAAAAAAGCCCAAATAGTCCCCAGTTTCTCTGCTTTTCTAGGGATTGATTTCAGCATTGGTTCTCTCTTTCCTGGCATTATCTTCCCTGTTTTGCTCTCAGGAAAGAGTAGGTAGACAGCCAGGCCATGATTTGCTGCTGCCTGTGCCATTGAACCAAGGGGGGAGAGCCAAGACACGTGGCCAGGTGGCTTTTCACAGCCATCCTTTTCCCTGGGGTTACAGCAAGAGTCCAGCCTCCCCTCAAGCCACCAGGTTGCCTGCAGGGTGAGAGGTTAACCTTATTTCTTCTCTTCTTTACCCTTCAGTGAGCCAAAGCCTGTCAGTAAGCAGTGGAGACCATCTTGGAGATGTCCTTGTTGAGTGCTGGGGCCTGGTTGGGACAGAGGAAGGTAACGGAGCCGTCACTGACAGCCTGCTGAGATGTGATGTGAGAGTGTGGGTGCGGGTTGCCCACGAGGTGGATGGTTCTGGCTGTGGGGAGAGCTGGTGTCGCCTTGGCTTGTGGCCGAAGCCCAGGTATGTGCAATTCTGGAGAGGTCTCCAGGCCTGGGGTAGGACATTTCAGCTGTGTCCTCAGAACCAGGTCTCAGCGGGAAAGTACTTCTGCTGCTACACTGGGGAGGTGGAAAATTAATATTTTTGATCCCTAGGCTACAGACTCATTTGGGTTAGAAGTCGATAACACTCAGCATCTCCTGTCACATGGCTGTTCGGCCCAGCGCTGTGTGTTGGCTTCTGGTGCACCTGCAGTTCTGCTGAATTGGCAGGAGCTGTGGCACTGAGGGCTTGGGACCCTTGAGGAGACCCCTCTGAGCAGGTCTTCCATGTATTTGCATTAGGAATGCTCTCAAAATATCCTGGATTTAAAAGAAAGACAGCTGTTCTCACTGACAGGTTTATTTCCTCAGTTTCTCTGGTGTTACAAGCCCTGGTTGAGCAAAACATTTGGTGCTCATTGTCCAGAGGAAAGACACAGCTGTGTCCTTCCAAATAAGTGACAGCCCTGCTCATGTCTGTGTTCAGCTCAAGCCTGTTTGGTCTGAATTATGATATTTCATTATTGCTACAAATGAGAGCATATGTCACATCAAATACAGCCTATTAGGGTGCTATTTTGACGGAGGAGGGAGGTGGAAAGCTGATCTGGGGAGGAAAGGCAGAAGGACAGTGCAGCGGGCATGGGGGCACTGGCATGGTGGGACACTCACCTGGGGTTGGGGGCAGCATCAACAGGGCTTGCATTGATACAGCCTCACGCCTTGCCCTGCCAATGTTTATTTTGCTTGGGTAAATGTTTGATTTTAGCAACATGACTGCAATGTGTGAGCCGTGCTGGGGCTGTAATTTGCTGGGAGGAGGCAGCTATGTGCAAGGGTAGAGCTGCTAATGCCGAAGGAATGCTGCACTTGGAGAGAAGATGGCACCTGGGGCCCTTGGGGACAGCACAGCTCGTCCTTCTCACCCTGCAGTCACCCTGCGCCTGGGGGCTGAGACCTAGAGTGGGATCATGCCTTGCTCAGCACCCCTGTGGCCCAAATGGACATGATTTTTTTTTTTGGAAATCAGGTGTTTCAGTTATAGCAGTGGGGCTCCCACCCGGAGCTGCTGGAGGATCATGAGGTGCCGTAGGGCTGCCACCACTCACCTCGCATCAGGCTGGGTGAGACAGGGAGGGACCCAGTCCGGCTTAGGAATGGCTTTTATTCAGGTTTCCAAAGAAATCTGAGGTCTTCTTTCTGGATGTGCTGCAAGGGAGCCATCAGGATGGTGGGGAGGAGGAAGGGGTGTCCCTTCAGGACAGCCAGGGCTAGAGGAGGGGCGAGAGGGACTTTTCCCATACCCAGGGATTTCATTGATGGCATAAGTGGCTGTTAATTCACCATTTGTCACTAAAACGCTGCCGATGTTCCAGTTAAACCAGCAGGCACCAGTGCCGGCTCCTGAGCCTGCTCACCATGGTAGGGGCGAGGAGATGCAACATAGCATCTCCCAGCCAAGCACCCATGGCCCCGTTACCTGGCAGCAAAATCCCTCCTTGGAGGCTTAAAGCTCCAGCTGCGGTGTTTCCTTCCCAGATGCAGCTCACAGGCACTCAGTGCAGCCCCGTTAGTCGTGAGTATGCGACCAGGGTGAAGCTCTCACGAAATCCCCAAGGAACGACCATCTGAGGCACTCGGTATTAATGCGTTTTATTTTCCCAGTGGCCACCCTTCTCAGTGCTCAGTCTTCATGCTGGTAGCCAGGAGACTTAGCCATGGAGTTGAGATGCAGAGCAGGAGGGGTATAGGAGATTCGGGCTGTAAGATCTGGCCTCAGATTTATTCAACTCCCTTCATAAACTCCAGGAACTCTGCCAAGGGGAAGACATTGGAGACAAGGGGTGTGAGGTGGGACCAAGAAGCCCTCACAGCTGCCAAGTGCACTCTTGGCAATTTTCCCCAGCCCCATCTCCTTTTCCACCCCTCTCAGTGTGCGAGAGGCTGAGGGGGGGATGGCTACTGGTCCTTTGGCTGTGGCAAACACTCCTCATGACTCCCACCGGAAAAGTCACTGCAGCCCAGCGTCACCCTCAACTGCAGCCAAAATGCTGGAGGTGAGTGCCTGGGTAGGGACACATCTACCCGCTCAGCTCAGAAACAGTCTGGGGGTCATTTTGGCAGCATCGCATTCAAAGATACAGCCCTCTGGAGCTGGTGCTTGTGTTTAGGGGCAGAAGGGGACAGATGGGTCTGGTGAAAAGCAGCTTTGCTTTAGCGCAGGCTGGCTTTCACTGCATGAGGAGCCCCAGGTTCTTGCTACCATTTCACAAACATACACCCCCATCCCTGTGCAAACACCAGCTGCGGTCAAACGTATTGCCCAGCACTGCCTGCACGAGCTCACACCCGTCCCCAAAGGCAACCAGGACTGCAGAAGCTGCCCAGGGGATGCTCAAGGGCTTGCGACCAAACTGCAGACAAGAAAGACTCCTACCATCATAGTCAATCCTGCCATCGTTGTTTTTATCCCCATCTTTCATCAGTTCTTCTATGTCATCTTCGGTGATGGTCTCTCCCGTTGCCTGCAGCATGATCTTCAGCTCCTCGAGGTCGATGTAGCCATCAGCATTTCTGTGCGAGGACAGAAGAGCTCAGGAGCAGACCGACACACCGGGGTAGGGGAGCCAGGGCAGCTGCACTGCTCCCACCACCCTGCCATGCTGCAGTCACAGCTCGTACTTATCAAACATCCTGAAGAGATCTGAGAGTTCCTCTTCGGTTTTTCCTTTGCTGTCATCTTTCATACACCGGACCATCATAACGAGGAACTCATCAAAGTCTACAGTGCCGCTGCCTGCAGGCAGAATAAACACCATCAGTTGGTGCTACAGTGGATGAAAGGGCAACGCCAAGTGCGACCACGCTTCCCTTAGTAACCAAGGACCAAAACTCAGGAGAGCAACCCTGCAGCAAGAGGCAGCTTTCAGGACACTGGCATAAGTGACTGAGGCTGTGGACTGACTTCATCACTGAAGTTTTACTTCTTTGCAGCCATTCAGCCAAGGCAAAGGAACTGAAAGTCCTGCTGGAAGCACCGATAAACAGAGATTCCTGCTATGGAGATACCTGTCCATGTCATCTAGGGATTAATAAAAAAGCTCCAGAAGACAGGTACTCATGCCGCTTACTTTTGCACCAGCAGTACAGTATTGCTGGTTTCAATGACACAGCTATTTCCCTTTTTTGTCTGATTTTTAACTGTTTTTTTCTTTTCCAGTTACTTAGTATGGTATCTCTGCCCAGCTGTGGATTTTGTTGTGTGATCACTGGTACACTGATTTAATCAGTATTGACAGTTATTTATGTGTGTGTTGCGTGTACACTTGAGCAGTGAAAGACTTTCTTGATGATAGAATTCTGTAATTGTGGCATTTCTAAATAGCAGTTGATACATTCAGCCTATACTTTGTTTTTTAAGTGGATCTGTGCCACTTCAGAGTACCTGTAATCCCCCCCAGATCTGGTCCTTATAGGAATAATAAATTTTATAGTTTCTCTTCATCTAGAAATTTCTTAAAGGAACCAGAGTGAAGTTTGGTGGGTGTTCAGTGCCCAAAATCACAGCACTGCAGGTTGTTCCACACACTCTGTGGCTGTCCCCAACACAGGTCCTGCCCCAGCGCTACCAACATTCACCGAGCCCCCCACACCTGCACATGTGGGGATGGTGTAAGAAGCCCAAATGTCTCACCATCCTCATCCACCTCATCTATCATCTCCTGCAGCTCCTCAGGGGTGGGGTTCTGCCCCAGCATCCGCATCACCTTCCCCAGCTCCTTGGTGCTGATGCAGCCGTCCTCTGCCCCCAGCACAAAGATGTCAAAGGCGGCCTTGAACTCTGTTGAGAGAGGGGAGCAGAGATGTGAGGGGTCTTGCCCCGCACTCCCACCCTGCAGGTGGGCAGACCCAGGGCAGGGAGCTCATCCCAGCCTCCCCTGCCCATGCACCCCAGCACTGCCCACGCACGGTGTGGTGGGGACACCCAGGCACACGCACAGGAGCTGCCTTGCTTGAAATGCTGGTGGATCAAAATCCCCAGGTCGTGCCCCATTTTCTGGGGTGTAATGGCTGAGGCAGGCTGGGCTGTGGGCTGGGGAGTTCGTCTTCAGGTTGCAGTGCCAGGTTAAAGATGCACCTACCATTTTTTTGCTCTTCTGTCAGCTGCTCAACCTGCAAGAATACAGAGACTGAGTCATTTCTCTTCCTCAGCATCACTAATTATTAAAAGGACATGTTTTTTGTTCAACTGCCTTTGCAAAGGTCAGCCAAGCCTCACAACACTCACCCTCATGGACTGTGGGATGTATGACCATTGGGGTTTTAACACCACAACTTTTTGTAGTCTAAGGGCTTCTTCCCCTTAAAGAAATTATTATATTATTCTCAACTCCTTTGAAGCAAGCATCCTTTCTCTAGAGTGGCAGCATCTGATAGGCAGCAGAAGTAGCCTTTGCACAACCAGGGGAGCCCCACTGGGAAAAGTATCTGCATCTATCAACCACTGGGGGATAATTTCTTGTTGCTGGCTGGCTTCACAGTGGGATGGCTGCACTGCTGAGGGCTGCCCACATGTGGGCTCAGGCTAGGACAGAGGTGGGACGTGCAGAAGAGGTCCCTGGGGAGGTGGAGGCAGAGAAAAACATCCATGGTAGTTGTTTTTCAGCCCTAGATTCAGGAAACTCTCTGCACTATCCAGAGCATTAAGAGCTGATTTACCTCCATCTGAATCAGTGTTTACAAGAAAGGGTCCTGCCTCTGAAGGGAGCTGCCATTCCCTTTGGCCTGGTTTGGGTATCTCCCCAACGAAATGGCCTATGGAGCCATCTGGCTGGCAGACTGTTCCCACACCCTACCCTAATTCATTCCCTACAGACACTCAGCAGGAGCTCATTAGTTAGTGTGAATTAATGAAGATAATCAATGACAAGAGCAAAGCGGAATCCATCAACCCTGTGTCATACATTTCTCTTTTTGGCTTCATTCCTACCTGCAGGTACTGTAGACCCCACTATCATGTTCAACTGCCCCTTTCGTAATACCCATGAAAGTACTGACTTTTCCTTCCCATGCTGGTCAACAGCCTCTCTGGGGCCAGCCAGACATGATCCCTGCCAGGACAACCTCTGGCCCATTCAGGAGGTGCCTGACCCCACTAATGTCTTCTCACGTCCTGTCCCTCGCAAGCAGCCCCCAACACCCATCCCCACCATGTTTTGGTCGGGGCAGAACCCCACCACCCAGGGTTGTGGCACCCTGTCTTTGAGGGAAGACTGGTGCTTTTGGCCCAAAAAGTAGTGGTTTTGCAAAAGCCACCTGGAAACCCTTCCTGCTTGCAGTGAGAAGCAGGGAAAGTGCTATTGTCTGGACACAGGTCCCTTGGCTGACATCCGCAGCCACCATCCTGCCGTTTGGGTAACCTGACCCTCTTGCTATTTATAATCCCTGGTGAGAGAGGTGCTGGAGATAAAGATGAGCTCCCTGATTGTTCCCAGGCTTTGGTATTTATCCTTGCAGCCCTTTATCGGGACACTTGTCCCTGGCACTGTTCTTAGTGCCGCTTAACAGAGCCTAAAAATGTCCCCAAAATAGCTTTGTGTTTGCACACCCTTATCTAGGCATGAGTGGGCAAGTTGAAAATCCATTGGGTTCTCTGGTGGCACGTAGGGAGTTTGGCATAAATATAATATTAATATTTTGCATGCAGCAAATAGTCACTTTTGAATCTTCCCTGACTACTGAAGTGAGAGGTGTGGAGCTATGCTGTATGTAAATTAAATGCATCATAACTGTAGAGTGACACTTTTAGTACAGAGATGTCTCTTGAGCTGTTTATAGTGCCCTCTGGACTGGTGGTGTTTGCAGCTTTAAAGCTCTTTTCCCTCCACATCATTGCAGGGACAGGTTTCTCCAGCTGCGATGTGGGAAGGCAGGCACCAAGCTTACTGCACTGCAGTGGCCATGGTAACACCAAATCTGCTGTATTTTGCTTTTATCAGCTCTCCTCTCCACCTCATGTTTTCAGATGAAGTCAGATGGGAAGTTTAAGTTCTTGAAATTTATTTTTCCAAGTAAATGTTTTGTTACAGTTAAAATCTTGAGGAACAGATCCATGAAAAAAGCTGTTTGTCTCAGCTGTGCCTAGCTGGGACTTGTTTTCCCTCTGTAAAAGTGGGGGCAGTTAATGCCCAGGACTCAAGCCCCACATTTACCAGCATGTCCCCACCTTCAGACCAGCAGCAAAGTCCTTCTGGGAGTTCACTGGGTCTCTGGCATGGCTCATTTCCCTGGTCAGGGGCTATGTTTGCGGTAAGTTTTTTGTATCTGAGGTAGGAAGTTCTGGGTTGTTCTCTATTGCTGCGGTTCCTTTTTTCTCTTCTAAATTCCTCTGTGTTCCAACTCTGCTAAAGCCGACAGGATTCAGTTAGGGCTATGGCAAAAAAAAACCCAACAGGAATTTTGTCCATTTCTGGGGCAGAGATTTGGAGAGAGGCTGGAGCTTGCAGGTGGTGAACCCTTTCTTTTTGGGGCTCTCTGCTGTCCTGCGAGACAGACCAGTTTGGCTGTGGGCACCGCCAGCTTGCAAAGCACTGCAGCCTTTCTCCTAAATTACAGGCGTGAGGTCCCTGAACAATAAGGAGAGGACCTGTGCCTTGAGTCATAGAAACATATTTAATTACAAAGCTTAATTAGAGAGGCCTACATTTTCTTCAGTTTTCCAGGTCACGTTTTTCTCCCTTTTGGAGGTGTTGGGGTACTTATCACCTTACTGTACAGCCTTTCCTGAGCCTTTTCACACTACTGGGATCACTAAGAGGTTTCTGTTTCATGAGGTTCAAGGCTGAACAAAAGACAGAAGAGGTGCAAGCATTTTGCTGTTTTCTTCAGTTAGGTATCAAGCACTCTCTTTCCTCCCTCTAAACTCCTTGGAATGAAAACAGGACTTGTATGATGTATTTTTGTACCCTTCATTAAAATCAAACCTGATCAACTAGATGTTTAGAAAAAAAAAATCACCAAAAAGCTCTTGTTTTAATTCCAGTCATGGAAAAGACACAGTAACAATCCACACAATCCAGAATCTATTTTCATCCTTACTCTGCTTGCATGTCACTGTCTGTCTATGTTACCAAATAATGCAGTGTTCTTATTACAGACCAAATATTTGGGTTTACACAGTGAGCGCAGCGTGCAGCTGTGTAAGTTAAAATAACCGCTGGGATGCTCTGCGTTCCCTGAAAGCATAGCTCACATTCTGCATTTCTGCAGGACAGGTATCAGAGCGGCAAAGCTGAGAAGGATGTTTGGAAATAACTTCAAAAAGACAGGAAAATATTCGGCTAAGGGAGAAAGGTAGCAATGGCAGACTTACAAAGCACCAGAAAGAAGAGGATGAGGTTTAACCGATACAAATAATGTTTATTTCATGGGAAATTCCACTTTGCTTTGTCTGGGCTAAAACCAGCAGCCCCCTCTTACACTGTCAAGATTTTGTTGAGAATTACAGCTTCACCTATGGGCCATCTCCCTACCTTACAGCAGGGAACCAGAGGAGTAATTGTAAATAATTGAGCAGCACAGTTGAGAGTTTCATGCTGCAGTGTGAAACCTTCAGAGCCATCAGTGGGAAAGGTCTGTGTCCTGGATGATGATGTTGACTAAAACTTGCCACCCTATAATTACTTATTTGCATTTCTCCTTTGAATTAACACCATCATAGCTTTAAGGAATCTACTATAAAATCCACAAAAGCCCTTAAAACACAACCTCTCCCCAAAACCACAGCCCCAGAGGGAGGCACTTACCGCTGCCTTGTAAATGTCATCCATGGCTGGAGAGAGTAGGTGAGGGGCCGTGGGTCGTCGCGGTCAGACTCTGCCACCACTGCCCCCACGAGCCCGGCTGATATAGGGGGCTGCCCGCCCCGGGGGATGTGACCAGCCCATTGCCTCGCCTGCGTGCCTTGGGATGGGGATGCTGCTGAGCCCAAGGCTGGCACGTCCGGGGCCAGCCCCAGCCCGGTTTGGGGCAGCTGGAGGTTTCCTCGTGACTTCGATGTGGGGACGAGCAAGCCCTTTCAGCTGCGTTTTGGCAGGACCCTTCCTGATATATTGCGGTATTTGGCTGTCTCGACTGGACACATGCCACCCTCGCCTGCGTGCCTTGGGATGGGGATGCTGCTGAGCCCAAGGCTGGCACGTCCGGGGCCAGCCCCAGCCCGGTTTGGGGCAGCTGGAGGTTTCCTCGTGACTTCGATGTGGGGACGAGCAAGCCCTTTCAGCTGCGTTTTGGCAGGACCCTTCCTGATATATTGCGGTATTTGGCTGTCTCGACTGGACACATGCCACCACGCCACCTTCACCTTCTGTGTGTTCCCCCCCTCCCATGCCTAATTAGAAAGATTATACCATGCCTAATTAAACTGAGTAGCATGGGAAAGGCATGCCTTCCAAAATATCCCCATCCAGCAGCAAATGTCCTCTGGAGGCAGCGGGAACAGGAGGTGTCGGGGCCTCCCTGTCCCCTCTGTTGGCTGTCCCCAGACCCATGAGGGGTGTGTGGCCGGGGCCGATGCCCTCGGAGGAGCTGATGCTGTGTTCCTGGGGGCACTGAGGACGGGGGCAATGTGTGGTCCCAAAGCTGCAGCGTGGAGAAGTGGTGAGGCAGGTGAGTTTGCCTCTGTTTTCTGCATTTTGCTGGGGCTGCAAAATGGTGGGAGTGTCGGGGGGTGGCTATCAACTATACTTGATTTCAAGGATAATTTCTGGTCCTTTGGGAAACCAGGGCTCACTTCACCCAAACAGCAAGCTGACCTGTCCTTACTGCAAACAAGGAAAATCCATGCTCCTGGATTTATTTTGGATTTATCCCAAATCCATGGAGATTTTTTTGGAGCGCAAAACACGTCAAAGGCCTCCAAGTGATGCCCAGTGTTTTCTCAGTGCAGGAGAAAACATTTTAATCTCCAGCAATAAAAGCAAAGCCTCTCTTTTTGGTGATTCAGGACTCCCTCTTGTGTCCAAAGGAGCTACAGATAGCTCCCCCCGTCTCAGGGTGACAGTTTTGCCTCCAGCTAGCCGATAGCAGCATTAGTTAGCAAAACTGGAAATACTATGAATGCAGCAGTTAGGTTTCAAGTCTTCTAAAAATCCCTTCTGCCTTTAATAGAAATCACGTTGCATGCAAAAGCCTGCCATCCCTACGTAACACCGAGCCAGGGTGGTGTTAACCAGAAACCTGGGGTGGAGCCAGCATGAAGCGAGGGTGCGGGCGAGTGCAGCCCCATGTCTCCACACCACATCCTCCCAGGCTTGGCACTCCCAAAAGATTAACGTGCTGCAGAGGCTGCTATAAACTACAGTCCCATGGGTGCCCACTGGCCTGGCAGACTTCAGCCAGGCCCTGCCTCTTCTCAGCATGGGGATGGCAGGTGTAGTAAAAAAGGAAAACAGTCACATTCAAGGAATTAATTTTTGAAACATGCCAGTCTTCAGAATTGGAACATATTAATAATTTGGTTGCCTTTAGCATATAAAAAGCAGAAAAAGCCGCAAAGAGAAGTAGTTATTTTGTTAAAGCTCATCAGAGCCTGTCCTTAGGTGAGGGCACAGGCTGGGTTGGGAGACCTGCTGTCTCCTATCGCCCAAACCCTCCTGGGCACCCATGGAGCCTCTCCAATGCACCTGGGCACCATGGACCCTCTCCAATGAAGAGATGCCCCAGGCTGCCTTCCCCCCGACCTCAGGATGCCCTGAGGTGTTGGTGGCAGGCACTGGTGGCAGGTGCTGGTGGTGGGACCAGAGACTTACAAAACACAGCCGTGCCTAGAGGGAAAGGATGAGATCTATCTGGCAGCAAGAGGGGACGTTCCTCCCAGGAAAGAGCGACATGCCAACCCCTGCCTTCCACCATCCCCTGGCTCATAAGAGAGTTAGGAACTGGGGTTTTACAGAGAAGCCCAGAGCCTTTGCTGTGCACAGCACAGGGTGAGGCTGCTGAGGCGGGTTTGGGGATGTCCAGGGAAAACCATCCCGGCTCCTCCTGCTTCTCTCATTCCTCCCCGTGCAAGACTCACAGCAGAGAAGGAGCGTAGCTATCTATAGCCTGAGGAGGGCTGCCAGCACAAGTGACCTTAATCCGGGCACACAGCTGGCTCAGCAACACCCCGGCTGTCACTGCAGTTAGGGACAGCTTGTCAGCTCGGCTCCAGCTGTATCATGACATGCTGTGGTACTTGTCAGTCAACCCAAGGTACTGAGACAAGCAGAAGGGTTTACTGCACTTTTTTCCTTCAAAAATCTCGGTTCAGGTTTTCTTTTCCAGGCAGCTGCACCCCACTGCAAAACAAGCAGTGGCATCGTTCAGGACAAATATAAGGAAATAAAAAGCAGAAGCCAATGAAGCTGCAACTTTATTTGAGGTCAGAGGTGTTTGCAGGGCTCCTTGGGCAACCTGCTGTGGCTCCAAACTCCAGCATCCCCTTTCCCTTCTCAGGGCACCAGACCTCGAGCGGGGCCAGCCCCACCGACCTCAAAACCCTTTAAGCACTGTGGCTTTTTCCCCAGAGACCATGTGTCACACACTAAACGGTCACTCGGGGCCCAGTTTCCCCAGTTATAAGAAGTTTCCTTTGAAAGAAGCATGCTGACATCCGACAGGGAAAAATAATATATACTGGGATTTTATTGCTATTGAAATCCTTCCCAGAGGGTTTTCGCTGAACAAGCCCTCATCTGCCCCCTTCCCCAGCTGATGTTCCCCTCACTCCTGTTGATGTATCTTCTCTGGGAGCCAGGACAGGGCTGTCACACCCCAAGCCACCTTGGCACCCACAGGCAGAAACTGCTTTGGGAAGAGGAGAAGGGTACCTATCAGAACCAACAGATGGGTGAGCGATGCAAATTGTTAATTAAGGAGATGGGACATTCTGAGGATGCTTAATTAAAGTTGCTCTCCAAAACCACTTATTATCTCATCATGCTGCTGAGCTCAGCAGCAGCTCCTGCCACTGGGACAGCACTACAAAATCCCTTCTAGGCTGCCTTTCCCATACGTGTTTTCTCCCTACATAGTATCACACTTCAGCTCAGTCCTGACCAAGAGAAAGCATCTTGCACTGAAAATAAAATCAAACTGAGTTTATGTGGCTGCATTTGCAGAGGTGTGTTTGCTTATGCGCCGACCCAGGCCTGAGGCTGGCGTTACCCCCACAACGTGACTCCCTCCACACAGTAGCTCCTTTCTGCACAGGAAACGCTTTCCATCCAGAGGACTCTGAAACCCACACATGCACCCAGGGCGGTTGGCACTTCTGCTATTATTAATGACACTGGAGCTAATTGCACTCTCCCTCAGGTAGCATAAAGACAGAGAGAGGTCACCTTTGTTTTGCTGGAAGGTGGTGGTTTTTACCCAAAGCTGACTCCTGGTCAGGCCAACTCAGCTTCACCAGGAAAAAGTCGAGGAGGATCTCAACTCAGTGCACCCTGAGCTCCCCCTGAGGCCCTGGGCCCAGTCCACACAGGTCTGGCCCATCAGCCCAGCTCCTTGGCTGTTTCTGAGGTAGCACCAGGCATGTTGGTCACAGAGCCACTGCAGCAGCACCTCAGCCCAACGTGACAGAAACCAAGCCTTCAGCAGCCACTGATCTCCACCACGAGGTGTTTGCAGCTGGGAGAGGCACAGCTTTGAACCGCTGCCACCGCTGCTGCCAGATGCTCATGGGCACAGCAGCACAGCCACACTGGTATTATGGAGACCAGCCCCCTGCAGACAGGGACCAGCTTTGTCCTCTGCAGTTCAATCCCAAATGCCCAGTGTAAGCAACCACCCGCACTGCCCCTTCCTGCGCTGCCAGATGTGCAATGTGCGCATTGTGCCCAGCAGTCCGTAGCTGCCTTCAGCCACCTTGAACAGGCCTGAACCTCCTTCAGCTGCCTGCAGTGCACAGCCTAGTGCTGTACAGCATGGTATTGCCCAGCACTACGCCGTACAGCACAGTATTGCACATACACAGCACTGCATCGTGACCCGCACTGCCCCTTCCTGCGCTGCCAGATGTGCAATGTGCGCATTGTGCCCAGCAGTCCGTAGCTGCCTTCAGCCACCTTGAACAGGCCTGAACCTCCTTCAGCTGCCTGCAGTGCACAGCCTAGTGCTGTACAGCATGGTATTGCCCAGCACTACGCCGTACAGCACAGTATTGCACATACACAGCACTGCATCGTGCACTACTGCAGGGCACAGCACTGCGTTGCATTGCACGGTGCTATGTGGCACGGCACTGCCCTGCAGAGCATTGCACAGCACAGCATCGCGCTACACTGTGTTGCACTGCACACCACAGCACCGCACCGCACCGCACCGCACTGCACAGCGCTGCATTACACAGCACCGCACAGCGCTGCACTGCTCAGCGCTGCCTTGCACTGCGCGAACGCCCCCGAGCGCCCGACCCAGCACGCACGCGCGCCCCCCCGCGGCGGGGCC